TCCTACTGACATTCATGATGGAAGAACTACTGGTGGAGGGAAGACCACACACGCACCATTTATCTGGTGTATGTGTGCCAGAAGCTCACTCAGTGTGTTTTATGCATCCTCTGATGCATACTTAAAGTAATCCTGTGGCACAGACATGAAAATTATCCCCATTCTACAGAGGCAGGAGCTAGGCTCAACTCCTAATGGTGGGGCCCATGTCCACACCCATGTCTGATTTAACAAGAGCCTGTGCCACTTGCTACAGCCCTTCAAGGCTTCAGTACCATGTTGGCTCTGGCTTGTGAGCAGGTTGCCTAAGTTCATGGATAGGGGTGTGGGTGCTGAGCACGCCCTCCTTTTTTTCTTTTGCCTCAGGGAAATGAAAGGATATACATGGAAATGGAGTTGAGGAGGAAGGTCTGAAAGGCAAAGAGGAGGAGTCCATTTTATTCTTACCTCCTGGTTATCCATCATTATTACCATTATCATCATTATCTTCATCATCCTTATCATCACCATCACCATCCACCATTGTCATTGTAATAATCATCGTCATTATTGTCATCTTCATTATCATCATATTCTTTGCCATTATCACCTTTGTTACCATCAACATCCCCTTCGTCATCACTATTGTCATAACTATCACTATTATCATTATCACCATCACCAGCACCAGCATCATACCATCCTCATCATCACCATTATGATCTCTATCACCATCATCACCATCACCATCATCACCATCTTTATTCTACCTCCTGTTATTCATCATTGCTACCACATTAGTCATATTCTCATTATTCCATTATCAATAATACCATCTACTATTAAGCTACAATAATTATCATATTATTATTATTCATTAATAATATATTTTTTTAAGTACATTACCTTGTGTTAAATATCAATATCCTCGCCATTACGCTTGTTGTATTCATTACTTACATTACATTACTGCTTCAGTACTCAGTATCATAATACTATCTCTTTACTATTACTATTATGATCTTTAATACCATTATCACTATCAACATTATCACTATCGTCATATTACTACATTACCATTTATCTCTTATTACTACCTACTCATTACTAATACCATTGGCTACTATCATCATAACCATAGCATCTCACCATCTTTTATATATCACCATTTTCACTATCACTATCAATAAGTATCGCTATCATCTCACTTATCACCATATTATCACTTGCCATTAATACCATATCACGCCATTACCATTACCATTCACTATCATCCCTACCATCACTATCTATCATCACTAATATTATCATCACCATCACTATCAATACCATCGCCTATCATCCTACTATCACTTATCAACTTCACTACTACTTCATCACCATCAATCACCATCATCACCATCATCACCATCACCATCATCATCACCATCATCAACACCACTGTCATCATCACTGTCATTATTGTCATCTTCTGCATTATCATCATATTTCTTACCATACTCATCACCAGCACCCCCATCCTTGTCATTTCATTATCACTGTTACTGTGTTCTTCATTATCATAATCATGTTTTACCATCATCACCCTCATCACCTTCACTATCACTGTTGCCGTAACTGTCATCATTTTCACCACCACTATTATCTCAGCCATCATGAAATATGGTGCTCCCCCGTCCCAGTGACTGCACTAGGTGATTTTCATCTATTACTTCTCTATCATTATCCCAAGCCTAGAAGGTAGGTGTCATCATAATCCCCACTTTAATGATAACGAAATTGGGCCACAGAGAGGTTACGGAACTCACCTAATGTCACACAGGTAATGACTGGCATAGTCTGGATTCAAACCCAGCAATCTGCCCCCACAGTTCATTATCTTAGGCACTCCCTGTACTGTGAAATAAAATCTGGGATGCCTGAGTAGGAGTGGCCTCTGTAAGGGCTCCTGGAGACTCCAGCCCCAGGATGTGAACCCTGAACCACCCCTGGTCTATATGCTGATAGGAAGAACCAGTATTAATGATACCTGCTCTGTGCTGACCACACTTGTGGGAGAATTACTTATAAGACCTGCACACTGAACGATCATCCTAACAGGTGGGGATTGCCTTATTTTCAATATGCAAATGAGGAAACTGAGGCACTCAGTGGTGTGGTTAGTTGCCCAAGGACACAGTGAGTGAGTAATGGGGCTGGGATTTGTTATCCTCCTAATCCTCATCACCATCTTCATCCTCATCACAGTCACCCTTCCCTCCTTTCTTTTTGTAAATGATTGTTTTTTCTATATGTCTTTATTTCTTTGAGAAAGGGAGGTCATTTTTCATTGTGGTTTTGATTAACTTGTTTTTTTTTCTTAAACATACAGGCACTGTTTGGAGATTTACACAGATAATATGTTCAGATATTGTGAAATTAAAACCAAGTAATTGTCTAAAATAAGAAGAAGTCTGGTCATTCATTCTCACTAGTAGTATTTTTACAGCTTTCCTTCAGTCTTATTTTTCTGAAAAGATATGCTTTTTTTTTTTTTTTTAAACCAAACAGGTATGAATGCAGTCCATGCTATTTCACAACCACTCTCCCTCACTGGGTGATCTGTCATAACACCTCATGCCATATCCTGCCACTGTGGTCCCTGTACAGGTGCTTCGTGATACGGAACCTTCATGTGTGACTATGGCCAGCCCCTCCCACCTGTCCTCATGGCTGGTCAGTGGGACAATGCTGTGTTCCCCCACCTCCCTCTTTCCATCTTTATCCCACTGTTCCTCGATCATCAGCCCCTGACCTACACCAGGGGACCTTTGCTCTCTTGTCCTCTGGGATCCTCCTCTTCACAGGGGGTTTACAGCCCATATGTGATCTCATCCCACATCCTTGTCACACATGCCCTGAGGCCCTCCCACTCCAGACACTGGGCTGGGTATTGGGGACATAGGGACAGCCCGGCTGACATTATTTGACCCCTTACAGGCACCAGGAATTTACTCGTCTAATCCCCTGCATTTTCACAGCAGCCCTACGAGGTGTGATCTGTTCTGTTCCTGAATTGAACATAAATAAAATGAGGTGGACATTGCACAGTGAGCAAGAGGAGAGGTCGGACTTCACCCCAGGCCATCAGAATCCAGGGTTGAGCCCCGAACTCTCATGCTAGTCCATGGCCCCAGCCTGGGAGGAGGTCACCCCGTGTCAGAGGACCCTTCCCTGTCCCTGTCTTGTGTCGTGAGGAAGGCCAGACAGGGCCCTAAGTGCTCTGAGCAGCTGGAACTCGTTGGGATACAAGTGACAAAAAAGCCAACTTTAACGAGGGGATTTTGGATTCAAGCTCCTGCACAGTCCAGGGCTAGAGCTGGCTCCTGCAAGACTGGATTCAGGCTCCGTGGCGCCATCAGGGCCCGATGCCTGTCTCCTCACACCACTGTCTCCTAGGTTCTTTCACGTTGACTCCTTTCTCTGACAGGCTCCTCCTTCATGGATGCAAAATGGCTGCAGCAGCTCCAGACCTCACATTGTCTCAGCTTCAAGTCCACTGGGAAGCCACCTGCCTAGGCCCCAGCATTCCCTGCAATCATCTCATTGGATCCCACTGGGTCGGATTGGGTCACGTGTCCATCCCTGAGCCAATCACAGTGGCTGGTGAAATAAATGCCCTGATTGACTTAGGCGTGGGGAAGTCACGTGGTCTTGCCTGAGGCCTTCTGGAGGCTTTTCCAAAAGACAGGACTGAGAGCGGGAAGGGACAGCTCACCAGAGATGCGCTGGCCTGGGCTCACCAGGGAGAGGGAAGAGACAACGCTTGGCACAGCCCACAGCACAGCTGCTCATAAACAGCAGCTCACCAGGATGCTTGGCCTGGGCTCACCAGGGAGGGAAGAGACAAACGCCTTGGCACAGCTCACGGCACAGCTGCTCATAAACATTCACAGCCCCTCCGTGTCAGAGGACCTTCCTCACCGCTGACATCAGGCCGGGCGTGTGCGTGACCTCTGCCCGCGAAACTGAGAGGATGAGGGGCGGCCGCGCTTCTGGGCAATGCTTTAGTACTTCCATGAGTTATTGTCACATTCTGCTTCTCTGAGCACATGAAGGCAGATGGCTAGGGGGAGACGCCCACAAGGACAATGGACGAGGGGCGTGAGCCGACCCAGCCTCTTTCCCCCTCCCTGAGCAGCTGGGGTCGGGATGTTTGTTACCGCAGGGCAGCTCTAGCACGCCCTGCCAATTCCCACTACACACACAGCGCAAGGCTTGCCATGGACCAGGACCTGGGCATCTCTGGGCTTGTTTCCACAGAGCCAAGTCTGCAGGGCACCCAACAAATAGCCCAAGTCACTGTTCACGCTGCTCCTGCTTCCTGGGCTCTGGCCAGCTCCTTCCTCTGCAGATTCTGGGGTGTAATGCTGTTCTTACTCCAGCCACCTGAAGTGATCCAGGAAGCCCGTGCAGCAGGTCAGGAGTAGTAGATTTGGGGGCCCACTCTAATGAACTGTGGAAATAAGTCTGGTTTCTTCGATCAATTTCTGGCTTCTGTGATATTTTCACGGCCTCTGGCTGGGGTGTGAGTGAGTTTCTGTCTCGGATCAAATAGCAGAGGAGCTGGTCTCAGATGTGCACTTCCACAGCCAGGAATGTTCTAGAATGCCCAGCTCGCTTCTGGAGATTGCAGGTGCCATGCCCGTGGTCCTGCTCCACCCACGCCCTCCATCCCAGGATGATGTTTCTCCCTGCACTCCGCCTTGGTGAGGTGACAAAGTTCACCAGACTCATTTTTGATGTTTGGGCAGGTTCCTTCCTAAGCACGCCTTGGGCATGGTTAGGCGTCACTCGGGGGCCTTCTACTTTATCTAGAACCCAGGCTGCCTGGCTTAGGGAGGTATGAGAAGTGTGACCACAGGCACAGCAGGAGCTTCGGAGAGAGGAGCAGGCCTCTGCAGTGCACTGCTGGCCTGCTGGCCCTGCCTCTCCGCACCACTGCCCTCTCCCACTCTTCGTCTCTGTCCGGCAGTGTCCCATCTCCCTCGGATGTGCCCAGGAGTGCCCATCTCAAGGGAACTCCTCCTAAGCTCACATTCTCTCCTGGCATGTCCTTTAGTTCTCCAGTTTACAGCCACACTTTTCCATTCTCTTAAATGATGGGTTTTAAAATTAATTTTCACTAGGAAGAATATGCTGTGATTTTTGAAATGAATGTCCCCTTTCTCTAACAACTACCACTTAGATAGGAATTTACGTTCCCTCTCCATGGACAACCCTGTCTTTTGTGAACCTCCAGAGAGATGTTAAACACACATAGAAACACGGAGATGTGTGTGTTTTCTAAGACAATATAGCACAGCATGGACTTGTCTTCTTCAGAATTTTTTCATTCTTTTCCTTCCCCTACTTGTTTTTAGGATGGACATTCTGCATCTCTTGTTTCTTTACCTTTTGACAAGTGCATTTAATTCATTACACTTTCATTAATAGCCATCTCTGCCTCCTTTCTGAATTATGATTATTAATTTCAACTATTGCCCTCTGGCTGACAGGCTGTGAACATACAACCTTTTAGCTGGGTTTGGTTTTATTTCTTCTGTCAATACTATTATTTAATAATTATTTAATATTGTACCACATGCATCATTTTCTTTCTCACCATAACTTACTGTATTTCAAACTGCTTCTCAGCAAATTATCTTCTTTATGCGTTTCCTTCAGGAATTCTAGTAGGGAGAGGGTCCTGGAGTTAATCCCTCCTTTTTCTGTATCTTTGAAAACAGTTCTAGTCTCATGAACTCCTCGTATTTTCTACTCTCCATCTGGCCCTGTTCAGAAACGTGTGGCTGCCTCCGGGATCCTGGGAGATGGTGTCCTCCTAAGAGGTTGACTTGGAGTCACCTTGCAGGGCCTGTTCCTCCCCAGGGGCCCCCTGGGAACATCTCAGCTCCTCTCTCGCCCCCACCTGTAAATAGCCCTCTGTGGGGCTGAGATAGACCCAGCTCGTGGCCCCAGGGCTTCACCCCTCTCTGCGGAGCCTCCATCCTGTGCCCTTGGTTTCGGGCTTGAGCCTAGGAGTGGCTCTGGCCAGCAGAAAGGGATGGGGACAGTGCAGAATCCCTCAGGCTTCCCGTGTCCACGTCCCTGGCTCCTCCCCGCACTGGAACAGGACTCCTGCCAGCAGCTGGGGAGACCGTTCTCTAGGGCATCCTCTGAAGGCAGCAGGCTGCTGTGGGCTGAGGCGCTTTTTAGACACGAGATAATTCACAGCTCATCAGGAACACCGCATCAGTGCTTATGGGTGTCTCACGACTGCGGTAGGGAAAATAGGTCTCTTACCGGAAGATTAAAGAGAAAGATTCTCTCCCTACAGACTCCTCCTGAGCAGCCATGCACGTGGCGTTTGCTCACAATGGGCGATGGGATTTTAACCAGCTTTTATGTTCAGAAGGCAGGGCACACCTGGAAGCCATCATCAGGTGATGGCCTGATTGAGCTGGTGAAGCACTGGGCGTGCGGGTAGGGTCCGTTCCTGATCAGGAGCGTTCTCAGCGTCGTGAGCAGCATGGGACTTGGAGGCTCGGATGCCCCCAGGAGGCAGGCCCTGCAGCATGGGGCAAGGAATGGACACAAATGCTGGGCACGTGTTGTGGTCACCTTGGGAGGTCTTGGCAGCAGCGGGTTCAGGCACACAGGCATCATCGGGTATGCTCCCTGCTGGGACTGCAGGGGTGGAGCTTCCAAGTCCAGCCGAGGACACAGGCAGGTGTGCGGCTGTGAGTGCTGGGAGGGTTGGCCCATGGCCCTGGCAGCCCCAGGCCCACACCCTGCTGTGTTCTAGGGCAGATGAGATGATTTTCCTGAAATGTTCTTTCTCTTCCTGGCCCCATCCTCCAGGTGTGGAATATCCTGCTCCAATCCTCAGCCCTGGGCCTGGCCATGTCACCTACTTTGTCTAGTGAAACGTCGGTGGACAGGCGCTGCCCGGGCTCCAGGGAGCTCCTCCCTGAGACTCACTCCCTGTGACTCTGCCATCAGCACGGAACGACCTGCCTGGCTGCCTCCGGGGTCAGGGAGGACATGCGGTGTGGGAGCAGAGCCGGCCCCACTGCAGCTGCGGGCGCTGTTCATCTGAGTGGCACAAGGTCAGCTGACACCCGTCAGACTCTCAGAACCCTGAGCCAGCCCTGCTGAGATCTGAGCCACCGCGGCCCAACTGCAGTCACCTGGGAAGGAAGCCCCGCATTCCGCCCCCGGGATGTGCGGCCCTTTGCTCTGCAGCAGGTGTGGATGTTGCGCCTCCAGCTGCTCCCCCGCTCCCTGGTTTTGGAAGCTTCCCCTTTCCTGGGCCTCACGGTGCTAAGATCCACCACGAGCCATCACTGTGGTTGTTTCTCAAGTCCAGAGAAGAGAGTTTTCTGTGAAGTGAAAACCTTCCTTGTAACACTGACCAGAGGCTCCGTGTGCATTTGGCTGCCAGCCATGAAGCAGGCTCTGAGCTTCCCCTGGGGTGTGGGTTCCCCATTTTCGGTGGATTCGGCAGGGGCTTTCCTGGGTGCATTTGCCCCCTGGGTGGGTGCTGTGCAAATTAAATCAAAGGCATGAAAAACAATCTCGATTACAAGGCTGCTCAAACACACTCTGTCCTCTGGTCTCTGGTATCCAAGAGGTCTTTGTGTTCATCTCAGAAACAGGATCATAAATTAAAGACCCTCTAAGACTCCTCCGTGTGGTCTAAACAGGAGGATGGGTGGAGGTGTGGCGCCCACCTGACCTTCCCTGTGTCCACATATGTCCCGCCCCCCTGCTGATGGGCAGAGTCATGTGACTGGTGCTGGCCAATGGGCTGAGGGCAGGAGGGACCTGGTGACACCCGGCTGAGGTGGAGAAAAGCCCCCCAGGCCCCTCCAGCTGCATATTTCCTGCCGCCCTAAGGGGCCACATGCTCTCTTGAGTGTGGCATGAGGAGCGCAGCCTTGATCATCAGGGCCCCAAGTAACCATGAGGAGCCAAGCTGAGTCCCGGCCCACTGTGCTCATGGGGTGTGAGTGAGAAAGAGCTGAGGTTTTGTGCTGCTGCTGGGATTTCAGGGCCATTTGTTACTAGAGAAGCTGTCCCAGGGGTCCCAGACCTGGGCTTCCTCCTAGCTTGGTGCATCTTGGGAACTCTGGATATTACCATCCTCATCTCTATAGGGAGAATCATCATCGTCATCAAACCTCATTCACTTATTGTGAAGATTAAATGAGTTAGCATAGTAAAGCTTTAGATCAGTGTGTACCAATGTAGTCACTGTGTTGGTGTTGGCCATAATGAGGGGAGTCAAAGTTTTGAAGGCCTTCAATACCAGGCTCAGGAGTTTGGTCTTCATCTCAAAGGCCTGCTTTGGCCAGGCACATTGGGTCATGCCTATAATCCCAGCACTTTGGGAGGTTGAAGTAGGAGGATCACTTGAGCTCATGAATTTGAGACCAGCTGGGCAATGTAGGGAGACCCTATCTTTACAAATATAATAAAAAACTATTAGCTGTGCATGGTGGTGCATGCTCGTAGTCCCAGCTACTTGGGAGGCTGATGTGGGAGGATCACTTGAGCCCAGGAGGCTGAGGCTGCAGTGAGCTGTGATCACACCACTGCACTCCAGCCTGGATGACAGAAAGAGACCCTGTCTCTTAAAAGAAGAAGGAGAAAAAAAGGTTTGACTTTTTCAGTGTCTCCTACAAACACTAATTCTACCGAATGCTACAAAAAAAAAAAAAAAAAAAAAAAAAAACCTCAGTATTCTGTGTTTTTTTTTTCATTTTTTACAAGTAGTGGATTAGCAAAGTGAATGCATTACTTTTTTTTCTTTTTTACTGCAGAACTTGTCAGTGCCTTTAATATGAGGGATGAGTCTCCAGGAGAGTTTGTTGTCAGGATTTAACACTTACTCTTGGCAAAGCAGTGATTTGTGCTGGAAATGAACTGGGTAGACCCTGTTCCCATCTCCGTCTGCCCCAGTCTCCATGCTGCCCACTCCCTATTAACAGTGCCTATAAACCAAATCACTGCAAAACACCCACAAATGGAGAGTGGAGGAGCATCACTTTCCACCCCGGGATCATGACGAGGGCTCTGTAACTTTAACAACCAGTCAGAAGACACCTGGGCTTGGGCTTGTGCAGCAGCTCCGAAGCCTGCCCTCCCTTGTCACCCACGGCACTATGACTTTGGAGGGTCTCAGCTCAGTCCTCCCTGCAGAGGGGCTGTCAGTGCTGGGCAAGAAATGATGCATGTTCAGGGATGGGCCCTAAACCTCCTGTGGAGGCACCTGACATGCCCCTCCCATCTTCCTGTTGACTGAGGTGGTGATGCCCAGGTGACCCTGCAAACCGCATGTTGGTGGTAGCTTAGCAGCCATCAGCCTGGGCCCCTGAATGACCACATGGAGCAGAGTCTTCCTGCTGACTGGAATTACCACTCTACATTCCTGTGAGAGAGAAACGAGTGTTTTCCTCATGAGGTTGTTGAGTTTTGGATGTGTCTGTGCCAACACAGCTAACCCTGGCCCAATACACAGGGTGAGGGCAGACTTTCCCCAAGAGGAGAAAAAGGGTGTTGGGCAGAGGAAGGGGCAAGGCCGGAGGGCAGGTGTAGGAGGGTGACTGGCTCTTCCTTGAGTGGAGCCGTGGGCCTGTGGGCAGGTGGGCGGGGGAGTTGGTGGCTGCCTTCCCACTTCCTCTGGAAAGGCAGCCCCAGGCTTCTCAGAGCTGGACTCTCTCTGTCCAACAGGAAAAGGCAGTCCTGTCTTCTTGCAGAGGGGAGAATACACCTGTGCCTTCCTCCCCACAGGCTCCTGTGGCTGAGCAGCGGGTACAGCCCCTTCAGTCCTGTGTCCTTCCCTCTGCCAGCATCCCCTGAACTGCTGGGTTGACGTGGGATGTAGACCAGGAGCCCTGCTGTCACCACTCGAGCTTAGGGACTAAAGCCGGCCTGGCTCAGTTGCCAGGTCTGGGGGAGACACTGAGGATTCCAAAAGCTGATTGAACAAGTCCCTTCCCAAAACGAATGGGCTGAGTGGCCAGCACCCCTAGGCCTTGTTTCACTTGTCCTGAGGCAGAATCGTCCTCGTAAATACAACCCGGGAACATGCACTTTGGGGACGAGGGCCCTGCTCCAGGTTTAGATCAGCCTCGTCCAAACCGCGGCGTGTGGGCCACGTGTGGCCCAGGATACCTTTGAATGCAGCCCAACACAAATATGTAAAATTTCTTAAAACATTATGAGATTTTTTTGCAATTTCTTAAAGCTTATTAGCTATTGTTAGTGTTAGTATATTTTATGTGTGGCCCAGGATGATTCTTCTTCTTCCAGTGTGGCCCGGGGAAGCCAAAAGATTAGACAGCCCTGGTTTGGATGGACAAAGTCTCCAGGAATGAAGTACATTTGGGATGAGCACAGGACAGGCTGAGGCTCGGTGAACAGAAACCACAGCTAAGCAGGATGCCGGGTCGTATAGACCGTACACTCAGCTGCCAGAAGGTACATTTCCTTCTTTTCCTGTAATTGGATCCATTTCATACCTTGAGCCAATATTATGACTGATGTAAAAGTATAATTTATTAAATTCTAAAGAAACTTATACAAGATCAAAGTAATGTGGTAGACAGAGCATGAGTAGGAGTTTTGCAGAAAAAAATCCAAGGAGAGAATCGTGTGTGTGTGTGTGTGTGCGTGTGTGTGTGTGTGTGTGTGTTTATATATGTACAGTTCACCCTTGAACCACACAGGGATTGGGAGTGCTGACCTCCCATGCAGTTGAAAACTCCATGTATAATTTTTGACTCTCCCAAAACTTAACTATTAATAGCCTACTGTTGACCAGAAGCATTACTAATAACACAGTAGATCTACATATATTTTGTAAATTATATTATATACTGTATTCTTACAATACAGTAAACTAGCATACAGAGAATGTTATTTGAAATTATAAGAAAGAGAAAATCTATTTGCCATTCACTAGTGGAAGTGCATCATTGTAAAGATCTTCATCCTCATTGTCTTCGTGTTGAGTAGGCTGAGAGGAGGAGGAAAGGGAGGGGTTGGTTGTGCTGTCTTAGAGGTGGCCGAGATGTAAGAGATGGAGGAGGTGGAAGGAGGGAAGGCAAGAGAGGCAGGCACACTCCGTGCAATTTCATGGAAATTTTGTCTGACCTGTTTGCTTTTTCATTTTTCTAAAAATATTTTTATGTGAATCCTTCTGCCACCGTGTGCTTTGGATTCAGTGCCCGCGTCATAGAAGGGCCCGTGTCAGTAAGGAAGTGAAAAGCAGGATGGAATACTGAAACCCTCCTGGCAGATTGTCTGTGGTCAATGTATTTTCTGGTGTGGCTTCTTCTTTGTCTTCTTCCTCAACATCTGTCACTGGTTCAGAAGCACTCACCTCCTTCAAGTCGTCTTGTGGTTTTTGTCTTCTGTGAATTCCTCTGGTGTGGTGTCTGTTAGCTCTTGGATTTCTCCAAGATCCATATCTTGAAATTCTTCAATCTCCCATCTTTTTTTTTTTTTTTTTTTTTTTGCCAGATGCACAATCGCTTTCATGATGTTTTTTTGATTGGCTCTGTTTTGAAGTCATGTACAACATCTAGACATAGTTTTCTCCAGCAGGAATTTATAGTTTCAGGCTTGATGACTTTCACAGCTTTTTCTAACAATGGCATCTTCCACGGTGTAATCCTTGCAGACTTACATGACATTCTTGCTATTGGAATTCTGTTCCATAACGTTGACAATCCTTGCCATACAGTACTGAGCTTAATGGGCCTTAACGGTCCTTATGACTCCTGATCTAGAGGCTGAATTAGAGACATCGTCTTTGTCTTGTATTGTATTGTATTAGAGACATTGTATTGTATTTGGGGACAAGACCACTTTGATGCCTTTGGTGTCGAACCCAAGGCATTCTGGGTGGCCAGGGGCATTATCCAATATCAAACAGACTTTAAAAGGCAGTCCCTTACTGGCAAGGTACTTCCTTACATCAGCGACAAAGCACCCATAAAATCAGTCCAGGAAAAGGGTGCTCACTGTCCAGACCTCCATGTTGTACAAAAGACTGGCGGCTGCTGTTTATCTTTTCTCTTCAAGACTCGGGGGTTAGTGGCTTTATAGAGAAGGGCAGTTCTGACCATAAACCCAGCTGCATTTGCACAAAACGGTAGAGTTGGCCTCTCCCTGCCTGGCTTCAGTGCTGGTGCTCACTTCTCTTTCTTACTAATAAATGTCATTTGTGGCATTTTCCTCCCAGAATAGAGCACTTTCATCAGCATTAAAAATCTGTTCAGGCAGATAGCCTTTATGCTCATTGATTTTCTTAATGGTGTCTGGTAACTCGTCTGCTACTTCTTGGTAAGCAGAAGTTGCTTCTCCTGTTATCCTGACATTTTTTGAAAGCCAAACCTCTTTCTCTTTCTAAAATTATCAAACCATCTTTGGCTGGCATTAAACTCTCCAGCTTTAGCTTCTTCACCTTCCTTTTGCTTTAAGTTGTCAGATTTTCTCAAATCTTATTAAAGTCTACATGTATGTCTTTCTCATAGTCATCCTGCACCCACACAGAGGCTGCGTTTTCAATACGAAATTCAAACGTCTGCCACAAAAAGTGTGAGGTGTTTGTGCTTGCTGGCATAGCTGCAGCAACAGCTTCGTGGATTTCCTTTTCTTTTTTTTTTTGTAATGGTCCTTATGCTAAATTCATTTATCTTGAATTGGCAAGCAATCTCAGCTGCAGACCTTGACCTAGAGTACGTATCAGGCAATTCAACTTTGTATTGTAATGTCGTGACTTTTCTCTGCTTCTTGGAACACTTCCAGCATCACTAGTGGCACTTCTCATGGGTCTCATGGTGTTATTCAAGGTTTATGGTATTGCCGTAAATATGATTCAAAAAATACATGAGAACCACAAGAGATCATGCTTTACTGCAATATGTAATTTACTGGAGCGATGAGCTGCACAGGTGGGGGTGATTAGCATCGCATCACATTTCAAGCAAATACTCAGAACACTTGAGCTCACCATAATAGCAACGGGAGGGGCCATGAAATTATGACAGTGGTATGTTAGGTACTACAGTGAGTTCTATGCAGTTATGATTTCATACTGCATCTTTATGTTTGTTTACATTTCTCTTGGCTGTGAATGATGCCAAGTCTGTAAGTGTTTATTTGTGTAACTTTGATAAATTTTAACTTTTATAATAATTTGTCTAATATTGTGGTAGTAAATGATAAGATAGACTAGTATCTACATTTATTTTATGTATTCATGATATGCGTAACTTTAATTTTTTTCCAATATTTCTAGGTTATGTGTTTCATCTGCAAGTTTTCTCAAATTGTTGCACATCTTCAAAAAATTTTCCAACATATTTACTGGAAAAAATCCACATATAAGTGGCCCCCCCACCAGTTCAAACCTGTGTTGTTCAAGAGTCAGTTATATTTATGAGGTGTTTTCAAAAGTTTATGGAAAATGTGTCTTACAAAAAAAACTATGCATGAATTTCAAATTTCTTTTGCACCAAAATAAACTCATACTAACTTGTTATAATATGTCTGAAAAGTATCTAGTTTGAGACACTAAGAAAGATAAGACATCAGTTTGGAAAGAGTCCCTATCAAAGCAACGTGAATTATGCTAAAATTGAAGCAGAACAAACACCAAATCTGTGGTGAAGCTTAGGTAGAGGACTAGTGAAGTCATTGATGCTTTATAAACAGTTTAGGGGGATAATGCCCCACAGAAATCAGCCATTTACAAATAGTTAAGTCATTTTAAGAAGGAACCCGATGATGTTGAACATGAAGCCTGCAGCAGCAGACCACGTCAGTTTGAGAGGAAAAAATCAATATCGTTGATGCCCTAATTAAAGAGGACTGGTGCTTAGCAGCATAAATAGCCAACACCGTAGACATCTCAGTTGGTTCAGCTTACCTAATCCTGGCCAAAAAATTAAAGTTGAGCAAATTTTCTACCTGATGAGTGCCCAGACTGTCACACCCAGATCAGCTGCCAACCAGAGCAGAGCTTTCAATGGAAATTTTACACCAGAGGGGGATCAAGATCTTGAAGCATTGCTTAGAAGAATTGTAACAGGAGATGAAACATGGCCCTGCTAGTACCATTCTGGAGACAAAGCACAATCAAAGCAATGGCTACCAAGAGGTGGAAGTGGTGCAGTCACAGCAAAAGTGGACCACCCAAGAACAAAGGTCATGGCAACAATTTTTGGAAATGTTCAAGGCATTTTGTTTGTTGACTTTCTGGAGGGCCAAAGAACAGTAACAGCTGCTTATCATGAGAGTGTTTTGAGAAAGCCAAAGCTTTAGCATAAAGTTGCCTAGGAAAGCTTCACCAGAGAGTCCTTCTCCACCACGATGCTCCTGCTATTTCTTACCATCAAACCGGGGCAATCTTTTTTTTTTGAGTCAGAGTCTTGCTTTGTCACCCAGGCTGGAGGGCAGTGGTGCGATCTTGGCTCACTGCAACCTCTGCCTGCCAGGTTCAAGTGATTCTCCTGCCTCAGCCTCCTGAGTAGCTGGGATTACAGGCGCCCACCACCATGCCCAGCTAATTTTTGTATTTTTAGTAGAGACAGGGTTTCACCATGTTGGTCAGGCTGGTCTCAAACTCCTGACCTCATGATCCACCCACCTCAGCCTCCCAAAATGCTGGGATTACAAGCGTGAGCCACCACGCCTGGCCAAACCAGGACCATCTTGACAGCAGCCCTGGGAAATCATCAGGTGTCACCTTTCAGCCCTGATTTGGCTCCTTCTGACTTAATTTTTTCCTCATCTTAAAAAGTTTTTAAAGGGCACCCCTTTTTCTTCAGTTAATACTGAAGCCCAAGGAGAGGACATCGCTGGGCCCTTCTCTGGGGCTGCTCCCTGGCTGGGAGGAGAGCGGACAGTTGCCAGGGGCGGACATTTGGGACAACAGGGCCTTGTCCTGCAGCTTGAAAGCCCCTCTAGGGCTCATTTCCCTCTTAAATCATGTCCCATTTCCCTCTTAAATCTAGCCCGCTGTGGCAGGGAAGCTCGTGGGCAGAGAAGGGGGACCAGGGAAATTTCTAGAGCCCCTCTCAGCCCTGTGATGGAAACGGGCCACCTGGGGAGGATGGTCATAGTGTCATCAGGCACAGTGCCCGCTCCACTGCGCTGAGAGCTCATGAGCCATCCAGGGACACTGCTTACATCCCAGTGCAGGATTCCAAAAACACGGGGAAAACCTTAGAACCGAACACAGGGAACTATCTCCACTCTAGGACGGAGGCAGACAAGTGCTCTGCAGAAATCAGGGAGTCTCACAGATCTGCGTTAATTAGAAGCAATGGTGTCTGCAATCTAGTGAAATTGGTAGGTGACAAAATACTGTTTATAAAGTGGTCCCATCTAGGTATAAACAAGGTTATGTCTATTACATTCTATGTGTGCCTTTTTAAAAGTGAGACTCTAAAAGGTGGTAAAAATTCAATCCTAATTGTTCACAGTGATTTGTCTGATAATACAAATTTATAGGGTTTACTTTCTTTGCCTGTCAGTATTTTCTGACCCCTTCCCCTTCCTGCCTTTATGAGTAATGAATGTGCATTACTTATGCAGTTAAACAAATAGGAGGCTTTTAAAACTTGGCTTTGTTTCCTGGCTGGCATCTTCCTCTCCAGGCACATCCCCTAGCAAGAACAGCTTCTGAATTGTCCTGTGTTTGTGAAATGCATGGACATTAGCTCTGCCTGGCACAGCTGAGAGCAAGGAAAAGTCAATCAGAAAAGCAGAGAAAAACAGATCCAAACACAACTCGAGTTCCAGAATATGGTGACACTCTGTGCACCCACACTTAGGTTCGCCTCATTTACTCGTCCTGGTGGAAAAGATACCAGGAGACGAGTCATCCAAGAGCAGTCCATGGATGACTGAGGGTTTATATTTGGCTTCAGAATAAATTAATTCCCTTTTTAATAATGATCTCCTCCCAGGAGAATGGCATTTTAAAATGCCTGACTTGGCTAAATATTAAGAGTGGAGTCCTCAGTTCACGCTGATGAATGGGGAGGGCAGGGGAGAAGCAGGGGTGGGTGGAGGCACAAGGAGGGCACCGGTGGATGAGGCAGCCTGTCTGGGAGCAGAAATCCCATAGACGGCATCCCTGGGCCCTTCCGTGCTGCAGCAGGAACCAGTGCTCGTAGGATGTCCCTGAACCGTGGGCACCGGGGCAGAGTCCTGAAAGTAACACCTTCATGAAATTCAATAAGAAAAATCTGGGCAGCCTTCGTGAAATCTGATTTAATGATCTATTCTCATCATTAGAAGGGGGACTGCAGTTTGGAGCAAGGCTTGGGGGAGTTACTTTTCAGGATTAATTAAATAAGCCACGTATATTTCTCCATGGAGACCTGCCCTGTCTATCTGCACGCCAGTTAATCAGGGAATTGTCAGGACCCCACCCCGGGTCAGCTCCCCACCCCGCTTTCCCTTGTCCCCATCCCCTCCTCCAAACTGCGGTCACCTACCCAGGCCAGGCTGGCGCTGGGGGGCAGGGGAGCAGGTCCACACTCTGTGGCTTTGTGAGAACACAGGCGGCAGGCGCCCCTTTGCATCCACATTTCTCTCGCCGTCCCTCCTCATGCCCTGCCTTTGATGGTGAAATGGAACTAGCTGAAACTCGGCTTCCTTCTGTGAAAACAGTAAAAAGGCACAGGCAAACAAGAATATGTGACCGTCACAGCGCAGCTGGGCTGACAGGCCTTCAAGTGGCTGGGAGTTCTTGTAAGGGAGGATAATTACATTTTCATTGTGTTAAAAAAGGAGGAAATGGGGAATAGGCCCACCATCACTGCTTTGAACCTCCTCAAATTTCATTTCCTTCTGAAACTGTTGGGAGTCCCAGGCAGGCCTGTGGCTGGACTCATGACACCCCCGTGGGTGGGTGGGTGAGAAGGTGCTCGGGGCCCTTCAGTGTGGGTGAACAAAACCCCCAGAGCCCCCGCCAGCTTCTGTGCAGGGCTCAGACCCCCAGCTGCTCACGAGGTGCTGACGGAATGCCTCCCCCGTGAAGGTGTCGTTGGCGCGGAAGAAGATGAACCTCATTGAGGGGCGTGTTTCCAGCTCAGCAGCACCTGGGATTTGTGCAGCCCGGGCCAGGGCGGAAGTGCGTTGAGGGGCTTCCCGGCGTGAGTTTGCATTTGGGGACCCGAGGAACCCGTGGAAGGCGAGGGGATTCCGTGTCGGTGTCAGTCCTGGGACCTCCCTGTGCAGAGGCTGGCGTGTTCCCACGCTCCCTCCGTCAGCAGGTGGGTCCCAGAGCCGGATCCGCGGGGGGAGGGGGCAGGACGGAAGCCACGGGAGAGGCCCCAGGCCGGGCGATCCAGCACCTGTCCGCGTGAACGCCACTGCAGCCTGATTGTCAGTCATTAAACAGAACAAGACTGCCGGGAATCTCAACTGGATAATTCAAACAATTAGATTAACAGGGGTTTGTTTGGTCCTAACATCACGGAGCGGAAGAACAGTATTCGTGGCGTTAACTCTGAAAGTGTCTCGTTCCCAGGACTAAGCAGGGCAGCCTGTGATTAGGAAATATTTGGCCACGGCAATCCCCCCGCCTCTTCCCTGTAGGGTGGCCTCAGGGTCCTCCAGGGAGAGCCCACTCTGACATCACACCCAGGACGGTCATGCCTACACATAGGCGGCTTCTTCGGGGTCTAAAAAAACAGCACATTTTAATGACACAACCACCTCTCTTCATTATGTCCTTAGCAAAAGCACCGTAATTATACACGTAGAACCTGAAATCAATAGGGGCCCTGTTTTGTAATTTGAACTGTAATTTACAATGGTGAACCCTCCACGCTTCCAGGCAACATGCAGAGAAGGTAATTTCTAGATAGATGACAAGGGGTGCCTCCAGCAGCCTGGGTAGTCACAGTGTTCGATAGTAAAAAAGAGGTTTGTAGCCCTGGTGGAAAGCTTCAAGTTAAGGAAGCCAAGAGATTAAATAAACAGAAAGTAGATTTGAAATACACACGGCAAACTGGCAATCTGCCTTTGAGTGTTTCAAAATCACGAACTATAAAAGACTCTAACACACTCTGGTGTTTTTCAGACAAAGGTTGGGATTTTCCTAACATTTAGAAATAGTTGGGAGCATGTATGTGAACTCCTGTGTTGAAACTGCTCTGCATTCATTTAGGCCTCTTATCTTCAAGTCACCTTCTGGAGGACCTGGGCGTGTGTTTGGAAACGTCCCTCTGGAACCGCGTGACAATCCTTAGGGTCCAGCTGCGTAGGTGCTAGGGAGTCTGGACCAAATAGCTCCCACCGGTCTGGGTCCACTCTTCCTTGCTGAGGGGCGTCTGGAGAAAGGAGGAGCCTGCATGGGGCGGGAGGCGGGGTCCTGCCTGGGCCTGGGGTTCTGCTGCCTCAGGGTCAGGACCCTGGGAACCCCACCTCCACCCACCATGTCCTGCTCTGACTTTGCTCTTGGTGGGCGGCAGCGGGGACCGGGGGTCTCTCCGTGGCTCTGCCAGGCTGGGAAATGCCTGCTCCACGTCTAGCTTCCTGCTACAGCCTCCCCATCTTGGCCGTCAGCACCGCTCCAAGACCCAAATACTGGGGCTGTGGGTGGAGAACCTGGCTGGAGGCAGTCAGGGCTGCACTGCTCAGCAACTTAAGGGGACTGAGTTGGCCTGGGGTTAGTTGCACATTCACTACAGCTGCACATTCCCATTCTCTGCTTCCAAGGCAAGGAGAGGACTGTGCATCCTCAGTGACCTGGTGCCTCACCCTGCTTCAGAGAAGCCTGTCCTTGCCCCCAAGCTGCTCTCCATGGAGTTCTGTTTGCGCACAAGAGGTCCCTGTGAAGGAGTGTCCATCAGGTCTGGACGTGCACCTGACCTCGCTGACTCAGAACGTGGTGACTAAGGTGACTAATGCTCCATTAGTTCTGCGTCTGATACCCAGGTCCATGCAGGCTTTTTTGCCTCTGTCCTTAATCCTTAAATTAATCCAAGGATGCAGCAGTCGGGGCCTCACTGTAGAACTCATGTATTTACCACACAGGAGACTGAGGCAAAGAGTGGATGGAGGGGACGGGAGAGCTGAGAAGTCAGACAGGAGCTGGGAGGCAACTCAGAGGCCAGGAGAGAAGGCGGCGGCTCTGTCCCTGGGATGGAGCGGGGTGGGTGGTGCTGGCAGAGCCCAGGGCTGGGGTCTCTGGGGAAGCTGGACCCACAGCAGCCTCGGTGTGCAGGAATAACGTACACAGCAGGCCGGAGGCTGCCTGATTCTCACACGTGTTCATGGAGACCTGTGTGCAGCAATGATCCCCAGCCAGCATCCAGCGGCTGCCTGATTCTCACGTGTGTTCACAGAGGCCCGTGTGCAGCCATGATCCCCAGCCAGCATCCGAGAACTTGGCTTTTGAGACGTTTCCTGTGTGACTGGTTGACCAGGTCATTTGTGCACTCAGGGAACTAAGCCCTGCCCTACCAGCTGCCTGGACTCGGCAGTGTGATCAGGGCACGCCCGAGTTCTGTCACCGCAGTGGCTGCACAGGTAGAGGGTGCCTATGTGACCAGCCCTCTGTAGAAACACCGCACTCAGAGACCTACACAGCCTCCCTGAGAAGCAACACTCTGGATGTGCTGCTGACTTCACTGCTGGAGCAAGCCGCGTGTTTGGTGTGATGCACCCTCCCCGAGGGGGAGCTCTAGCCTGCACCTGGCCAGTCCAGACTACCCTGGGTCTTTCTCCCCTGCTGATCTTGCTACATGACTTTTCTCTGTAATAAGCCATGGAGTCCACACTGTAATCACGCAGTGTGTGGTGGCCCCAGGACCCCTGAGACATGGAGCTGCAGGGAGGACAGGTAGCTGCCCGAGGTGCTTGAGGCAGAGAAGGATGGAGAATAGCCTGGCTCCTCCCCTCCCCCTGTCGCCCACCAGGGCCTCTCACTGCCTGAGCCCAGCCTGAGGCTAGCTGACCAGGGGTGTGGGAAGCCCAGCTCTACAAATTCACAACAGATCAGGAAGGGCAGGGCATGGATGGGAGGGCATCAGGGCCACAGGCCAGGACAGGCATGTGGGTTGCTCTTGGGGGCATTCGCAGTTATACTAAGAAGCTCCAGGAAGGACACACACACACACACACACACACACACACATGCACACACACATACACAGACACACAGACACACATACACAGACACACGTACACACTCCCCTGCCCTCCCATCTCCAGACCTTGTGGTCCCCATGAGCCCCCCCCAACTCCTGGCACTGCCGGGCTGTCCTGAAGGCTCCTTTGGCTGGAAACGGGCAGGGATCTGAGAGCGCCCGCTGTCGGGTGAGTCCTGCTAAACTCACATCAGAGATTAGGACAAGAAGACACAGGAGTGAGCTGGGCTGGGGTCTCAGCTGCGGATGACAAGGAAGGTCCCAGAGAAAAGCCCGGCCCCCCCTCCGCTCTCCACTGGGCCCCCGGGTGGATACTGCCATTTCCAGAACAGGCTGTGGGTTGCACGGGCTCCTGAGGTTCACTGAACTGGGGCTCTGAGGGGTCCCCAAAGTGCTTCCTCCCTGTCCTGTGCCCCCACCCCATGGGGTGGAACAGCCGCTCACAGGCCTGGGTTCTGCCATGCACAAGGGAGCTGGACCTTGGTGACTGTTCAGGAGGGAGTCTCTGGGCCACCCTCCCCATAACCACATGTATATCCCCTTTGGCCCCAAGGGAATTTCTCATAATCCTCCCTTGGAGGAGCCCCTCAGTGCCAGCCCACCCTCACCACTCTCTCCTGAACCCCCATGAACAGCCTCCGTGGCACTTCCACCTGTCCTTGTCCCGCCAGCCCTCCCTGTCCAGAGCAGCCATGGGGCCTCTTACAGTTTTAAGTCTGTCAGCATCACACGTTTCCTCAGAGTCTCCTCGGGCTGGGTGAGTTCTCATCCTAACAGGCCCTGACTGCCTGGCCCTGGCTACCTCTCCTGCCTCACCAGGAGCTGCCCACACCTGTCTTCAGCCAACCAAGCTCCTAACCATCGGGGATCCTGGGACTCAGGCCTGCCTTTGCTGGACACTTCCCTTCGGATTTCCACCTGGCCACATTCCACTCTTTCTTAAGGATTCTGCTTAAAAGTCGTGTCCTCTAAGGCTCCCCGCTAGCCTTCCCCACCGTGATGACATCCAGGTAAGGCGCTTGGGGGTTTAAGGAGCAGATGGAGCAGTGGGGCTGGGCACAGATGTTGAGGCAGGGGTCGGGGCAGGAGCCAGGGAGTGTCAGCCTTTGACCCAGGAAGGAAGGGAGCCATTGGAGGGAGCGTGTGGCCTGGTGACTGTGGTCGGGAGACCTCTTCCTCAAGCGATAGTTGCGGTGGGCATGTGAGGAGGAGTGGCTGGGGGCTGCTGCATGGCCCCAAGTGGGGCAGGTGCCCCTGCAGTGGAGCTGCTTGCAGTTCCTGTCCCTGCCGTGTCATGTGGCCTCCGCAGAGTGTGAGAGGGTCCCTTGCAACTCTGTCTATGTGATTTTGTAGTGTCTGCCCCAGGAACACCCTCCCAGTCATATAAGCCTCAAGCCCACAAGGCCTGGGCGCCTCTCCTGCTTCCCTGTGCCATGTCCCCGGGGGACAAGGGCCCCACCTGCCAGCTTGTGGACTTCAGTCCCCATCAGTGCTCACCCTACTGCAGCCCATTCTCACTGCAAAAGCTCTTTCTTTTATTTTAAAAATGCAATTTCTTCCAAAGCGAATAACTCCAAAGCAGGAAGAGGGCAGTGGAGCTGAGAGGCACAGCTGTGCTGAGGACACCCCATGGCTGGTGTGGACGCCCCGCTCCCAATTCATGTGCAGGGTGCTTCACGGGAGGGTTGGAAGGTGGTTATATCCGAATGGCACTGTGGGGGAGGGACTGGCCTGCCTTTGCTTGGGCCCACAGCTGCAGCGTTTGCGTGCTGAAAGCCATTGTTATTCTAACTGTTGACAAGGGGCAGCTCCAGCACAGCTCTCAGCAGGAAGCCTGCTCCTCCCCTAGTGTCTCTGGCACCATCACTGAACCAGTATCTGCAGCAGCCAGCAAACTGACTAATTACGGATGAGCCCTTTGTTCCTGATAACCCAGTGGCTCTCATCTGGGGCAGGCCACGGGCAGAACATTTCACCCAACAACAGCAGGAAACACGTTCTCTCCATGTTCATTTGGTACAAGGAATACATCCTATTCCAGTGATAAAATAAGTCTCAGGAAATTTTAAAGAATGAAATTATACCAAGTAAGTTCTCCAGCAACACTGGAGTGAAATTAGAAATCTGTAATGGAAGAAAACTTGGTAAATTGGTCTATATGTGAAAATTAGACAACATATTTCTGAACAATAAAATGGGTCAAGAAAAAAATCATAAGGGAAGTTAGAAAATACTCTGAGACGGATAAAAACAAAAGCATAATATACCAGAATTTATGGGATGCTGTGTCACAGGGAAATTTATTATAGCCACATACATCTAGATTAGACAAGAAGAAATATCTCAAGTCATTAACCTAACTTTCCACCTTACGAAGCTGGGAAAAGAAGAGCACACTAAGTCCAAAGGAAGAAGAAAAAAGTAAATACAGATTAGAGCAGAAATTAGTGGAATTCTACTCATTTGGAAGAATCAAGAAAATCGACAAAACTTTAGCTATGTTGACCCATGAGAAAAGAGAGAAGACTCAACTGATTAAAATTAGAAATGAAAGAAGAGCACTACTACCAAGCTTATGAAGAATAAAAGATTGTAAGGAAATATGGCTGGGTGCAGTGACCCACCCCTGTAATCCCAGGACTTTGGGAGGCCAAGGTGGGCAGATATCTGAGTCAGGAGTTCAAGACCAGCCTGGCCAACATGGTGAAACCCCATCTCTACAAAAATACAAAATTTATCCAGGCATGATGCTGGGTGCCTGTGATCCCAGCTACTCAGGAGGCTGAGGCAGAAGAATCGCTTGAACCCGGGTGGCAGAGGTTTCAGTGAGCCAAGATTGTGCCATTGCACTCTAGCCTGGGTGGACAGAGCAAGACTCCATCTCAAAAAAAAAAAAAAAAAAAAAAAAAAAGATTATAAGTAAATACAATGTACCATGTACACCAACAAATTAGAAAACCTAAATGAACAACCCCTAGAAAGTTGCATGTTTCCAAAACTGACCCAAGAAAAAAGAGAAAACTTGAATAGACCTATAATAAGTAAAGACATTGAGTTTATAAATAATAATAACAATTTCTACAAAGTAAATTACAGGACTAGATGGTTTCATTGAGAAATTCTCCAAGTGTTCAAAGAAGAAACACCAATCCTTCAAAAACCCTCGTAAAATATGTGAGTATGGAATACTTCCTAACTCATTCTCTGAGGCCAGTTATTACCCTGACACGGAAACCAGACAAAAGTGTTACAAAAAAGGAAACTATAGCTCAATGGCCTTAAGAATATAGACACAAAACTCCTCAACAAGGTACTATTCTAAACTCAGGAACATATAAAAATAAAAATTAAAAATTATTACCAAATAAGATTTTTTCCCCTGGAATTCCATGTTGATTCAACATAAAATCTATAAATGTAACAGTATATTAATAGAGCAAAGAACTAAAACAATGTGATTATCTCAATAGATGTGAAAAAAAATAGTTGCATTTGACAAATCCAACACTTTTTCATAATAAAAGTATTCGACCAATTAGGAATGGAAGGGAACTTCCTCAACCAGCTAAAGGGCATCTATGAAAAGCCTATAGCTGACATCATGCTTCAGAGTGGAAGATGGAACTATTTTCCCATAAGATGAGGAATAAGGTAAGGATGTCTGTGCTCACCATTTTCATTCAATATTGTACTAGAAGTTCCAGCTATGGCACTTAAGTAAGGACATGAGATAAAAGGCATCTGAGTTGGAAAGGAAGAAGTAAAATTATCTCTATTTGCTGGGGATATGATCTTATCTATAGAAAACGCTTACACACACACACAAAAAAAACCTATTAGAACTAATAAATTAGTTTAGCAAGGATGCAGAATACAAGATCAATACACAATCTCAGCTGCACTGCTAAACACTATCAATGAAAAAACTACAATGGAAATTAAGAAATAAGTGCCATCTATAACAGCATCAAAAGGAATAAAACACTTAGGAATAAATTTAACTAAAGACGAAATATTTGTGTACTGAAAACTATGAAACATTGTTGAAAAATTAAAGAACTAATAAATGGAAAGACATCCCATGGTCGTGTATTGGGAGACTGGATACTGTTAGGATGGCAGTATGCCCCAAATTGATACAGATGTAATGCAATCACTAGAAAACCCCAACTGTCTCTTTTGTAGAAATGAATAAGCTGATTCTAATTCTGTAAAAGCCCTGACTTGACCATTATGCATGCAACAAAATCGCACTTGTACCCCAATTTATAGTTTACCCCATAAATTTATAAATTGCATAAATTTATACGCATAAAAAAATAAAATTCATGTGGACATGCAAGGGACCTAGAATAGCCAAAACAACTTGAAAAGAGAACAAAACTGGAGGACTCACACTCTCAAGTTCAAAACTTACTGCAAAGCTACAAACTGAATAGTCCACAGAAGAATGAACTTGGATCCTCCCCTCACATTATGTGTGAAAAATAGCTCAAAATGAATTAAAGACCTAGAAATAACAGCTAAAAATATAAAACCCTTAAAAAAACACAAAAGTACAAATCTTCATGACCTTGGATTAGGCAACTGTTTTTTAGATTTGTTATTAAAAAAAAAACCCAAGGGGAAAAAACATAAATTGGACTTTGTCAAAATTAAAACATATATACATCAAGGAACGCTATTAAGAAAGTGAAAAGGCAACCCAGAGAATATCTGAGAAGTATCTGGTATCCAGGATATATGAAGAATTCTTAGAACTCAATAGTAGAATGAAAAATAAATTTTAAAATAGGCAAAGTATTTGAATAGACATTTGTCCAAAGAAGATACACAAATGGCCAATAAGCACATGAAAAAATTCACATCATTAAGCATCAGGGAAATTCAATCAAAACCACCGCAATGAGATACCACTTCATACCCACTGGGATGCCTGTAATTAAAAAAAAAGCAAAATAAAATAATAAAAAGTACGTATTGGTGAGGATATGGAGGAACTGGATCCTTTATTCATTCTTCGTGGGAATGTAAAATGGTGATGCCAATAGAGAAAATACTTGGGCAGTTTCTCAAAAAGTTAGAATTATCCCCAAAAAGTTAGGGATCTCCTCATAGAATTATCCCACGACTCTGCTATTCTACTCCTAGATAGATACTTAAGAGAAATGAAAGATATGTTTACACAAATATACACAAATGGTCATGGCAACATTATTCATAATAGCTAAAGGGTAGAAATAACACAAATGTCCATCGACAGATGAACGGATTAGAAAATGTGGTCCATCTCTACGATGGAACGTTACTTAGCCATAGGAGGGAATGAAGCACCGACACAGGCTGCGTAGTGGATGAACCATGAGAACATTTTGCTAAGTGAAAGAAGCCAGACACAGAGGCCACAGCCGTACGATTCCATTCCTATAAGGTGCCCAGAAACTGCCAAGCCATAGACACAGAAAACAGCTGGTGGTTGCCAGGGTCTGGGGAATGGAGAGAGGAGTGAATGCAATTTTTGGGGGGGTGGGGTGATGAAAATATGACTGTTGCATGACCTTAGGAATGTACTAGAAACTACTAACGGGCAGTTGGTGCAATTATGTGGTACGTGAATGATATCCCTGTTTTTAAAGTGTAGAAAATAAAAGAACTGGGGAGCAACTGGACACATTGGGGGTGCAGGTGTGGGCAGTGCAGGCCAAGCGTTTGCACTCAGTGGGGGCAGGAAGCAGCCCCCACCTGAGGTTTCTGCACCTGGGAGGCCAGCATGAAAGTCTCATCTCTTCCTTGGACTGGGAGGCAAGGGCAGCATGTGGGGTGAGCAGTGCTGGGCTGGTACGGGCTCCTCTCCTGGGCTCTCCTGCCTCCCTCCTGCTCCCTGGTGTCTTCCGGTGCCTAATTTTGTGGGTATTCCAGACGCCTGACTACTCTTTCATGAACCTCACCCAGTTCTGTTCCTGTCTGGAGACGCCTCGCCCAGGGAGGCCTCCCCAGTCCCAGTCCCCAAGTTTGGGCCTCCTGCTGGGTCAGGGCCCCCAGCCAGGGTGCGGCCCCTCCGGCCTCTTGGAAGAAGCCCTGCTCCCACCAAAGGAGACTGTCCGCCCTACAGTTTCTCCTTTTAAAATGAACTTTCCCGACATTTTCCTATTCTAAGCACAACTCATCATTTCAGGAAATTTAGAGAATGTAGAGAAGTAAAAAGAAAAATGTCCCCATCCATGGCCAACGCTTTCCCGAGTTGCACAAATACAGACAAGTGATATGTGTTTCTTTGTTAACAAAAATTGTAACCACCACGTCTAGGTTATTCTTAAGCCCGACTTTCTCACGGCATGGTGTTTTGTAAACGGTTCTTCATGAAAATAAAATAACCCTCCTGGGCTCTGTTTCAGCGGCTGCACAGCATCCCCCAACGCCGTCTCCATGGAGAACCTGACCCCTCATTCGTGAGGCGGAAACTCACCTGAGCTGAGCTCCAGGGCATCTCTGCGGGGAAGTGGGGTGGGTGGAGCAGCACCTGCCCTCCCCAGTGCCCCAGAGACAAACTGGCGCAGAACCCTCTTCCAGCAGAGGAGCCCTGCGCCCCTGGGAATGGGGATCAGTGGGCCCTGGTGGGTGGGCTCTGCTGCAGAGGGGGCACTGAGGCCCAGGAGGGTCCCCACAGGCCAGGCAGACCAGATGGCGATGGCTTTACCACTCTGGGCCACGGCAGCCTGTGTCCCTCAGTCTGCCTTTTGCATCTCAGGGAAATCTCCACCCTTCTGTCCACCAGGGGCACTGGTTTCTGCACCAGCTTCCTCCCCAACTCTGGTAACAGCCTTTGCTTTGCCTTGGAGGAGCCCACCTCTGTCAGATGCAGATGAAGATGCCAAGGGGAGCCTAACCGACCGTGGAGCCATTATGGAGGGAGGCAGAGCTGAGGGCTGGGGGAAGTCCCGGCTGCATCACCTGAGCCCCTGAATCCAGCCACACCTGAAGGTAGCTACCCTTGCCCCTCTGAGTTGCATGAATCAATACATCCCTTTCATTCTTAAGCCAGTTTGAAATGGTTCTGTCCCTGACAAATGGAGTCCTAGTTGGTACCCTGCTCTGTCCCTCCCACCCCCACTTCAGTCTTAGCAGCCTGGGAAAATTCAGAGAGAAATGAGGGGGCCGTGGAGAGCTAGGTTCTGAGGCTGTGGCCGCTGCACCCCTCCCGCCACACAGGTGGGCCGGTGTTTAGGAAACGCTACTTCCACCGAAGCCTTTGGTAACACCCTGGTGCCCGCGGCACCCACGACTGGATACCCCTCCCCAGGTTTTTGTCTGCTCTGATGAGCCCCCAGCTGCTCTCCCCGACATCCCTGTCCTCAGCAAGACCCCAGCTC